GCTCGTTTTTACATCATTCCAAAGAGAACTAAATGGCCTTTTTAGAAAGTGAACCATCGATAAGGAAATGTTGCAGTTTTCTCAAAAAATGCTTGCATTCAAGAAGTTTTAGATTTGCGTGGTTTTTTTTTGAGATGCAAAATCCACTTGAACATGGCGCTGCTTTTCTCGAAGTTTCTCAAGAACCATTCGAGCGAGAGATTTCGTTTTGGCATCGTTGGATATAGAATTGAATGGGGGATGACCCCATGACCCCCCCCCTGGATCCGCCCTTGACCAATGGGTGATAAATCGGTACATACTGGTGGCCAATAGGATTTTGTGCTTTGCCTTTTTAATGGCGCCGGTCTTTGCTTTTTAATTAGCACGGCAAAGATGGAGAAAATCAGAAGGATAATTCGTAATTTTGCTGTGTAATTTTTAAATTAATCTTCCCCAATTTTCTCACTCATCTGACCAGTTACACCAGTTGAAAACGTTCCTTCATTCTGACAATTCGTTAAATTATCTAGCAACATCTCAACACCATGTGGAGTTCAACGAAATTACTAAAAAATCAGCAAGATTACAGCAAAGAGTAAAGAAAATATTCAGCCACATTCAATGAAGATAAATGATTGAATGAATGAACTGTTGCAGCCCCTTTGGACTTCGCTTGAAAGACCGAGATGTGAAGCATATAAAAATATCGGAAGCGCAAAAAGTCTACGAAGTGTACGAGTTCAAAGAGGAAATCGGTCACGGTTCGTTCGGAGTGGTCGTTATGGCGATCGAAAAGGCGATGAACAGATCATGGGCAATAAAAATCGTACATAAGAATATCGTAAACGTTTATGTGGTTGGCATATTTAAGCCGCTGTACCGTAAAATTTTCAGGCCGGCACCAATAAGCTGACTGAGGTGGATCGGGAAATCAAGATTTTAAAAGTCGTTAGTCATCCGAATATTATTTATCTGGAAAAAGTGTACGAATCGCCCAAAAAGATCTACATGGTGCTCGAGCTGTGTCAGAGGGAGCTTTTCAAGGTTTACCTGGATCAGAAACCGTTTTCCGAAAAAGTAACCAAAAAAGTGATTTTGCAATTGGCCTACGCTGTTTCTTATCTACACAAGAACGGTAGTGACTCGAGTCAACTGACCGACTGCTTTTGATAACACGCGCTCAAAGACATTGTTCACAGGGATGTGAAAATGGAAAACATTCTACTGGCCGATCGCAACCAAAGTCAGGACGAATATTTCATCAAACTAACAGACTTTGGGCTTAGCATCGTGAAATCGGGCGTTGGCATTAAGAGCTTGATGACTGACTATTGTGGAACCATCACCTACATGCGTAAGCACATTGACAATACTTTTGAAGCCATTAATTGCTTTGAACAGCTCCGGAAATTCTGCAAATGAAAACCTACAGCGAATTATGCGACGTGTGGGCTATAGGCGTCATCTTGTTCATGATGTTATATGGGAGATCACCCTTCATGGATAAAACCGATGAGAGAATTTCATTCAAAATCTGCAATGATGAACCCGACTATGAAGATCACGAAGTCAGTGCTGAGGCCATTGAATTGCTACAAGCCATTTTGGTAAAAAAGCATATTTTGCCTGAAGTCGCTGGTTCTAATTCGTTTGGTCTCAACAGAATAAAGACCCAGTTCAACGAGTCACCGCCCTTCAGATAACCGAGAACCAATGGCTGAACAATAAACGAACCACAGGCAACAAGCACAAAGATCAAAACATTGTCGATATGATGAAGCAGTTTCGAAATGAAACAACGCCTCCTAATACAGCGGCTAATCGCGTGGCTCGCGGCCTGGTTAGTGGAAAACTCATTTTCAATCTTAAACGTATAGCGCTTTACTTTTAGAGCCTTCTCGATGGCATGTTCGACTACTCCACCACGCGTTTGTCTCAAAAAAGCGGCGCAAGTAACGCAAACAAATTTAATCAATTAGCAGTTACTCACTTACCAATTCTAGCCAATCAGAAAACGGATCTTCCGTGAAAGTTAAAGCAGTCGTACTTCAAAACTGGTCCGCATCTGAAACCGCAGAATAAATCGTCCAGTTTCCATCGACCATCAAACTCTAAAACGCAATCAATTAGTAGGGGATTTTGTTCTAATTCAGGAATGTTACTTTGATCTAGAGCAAGGATCTAAATAAAAATAGCTATTTAGAAACAATTTGAATCCATTGTTTTATATCAATCAAAAATCATACACCATTGAAGTACAGAACAATCTTAAGACAAACTTTATGTTAAAACAATTCCGTAAAGTATCGGTCTATTGGATTGACTCATACAGAATGACAACTGAAAATTTTATTTGGAATGGAATCAACCAAATGATCGCGCAATTATATACAAAACTCTGCACCATACCAAAATGTAGACAATCTTAACTGTGTAGGTCTGTGACAGGTAATTTCGGATGAAATTAACCATCACAGATGCAATTGAAATAGTTCTTTAAAAATAAGTCACTATAAAGGCACCACTTGCCTGTATAACAGGGAGACTGGCCAATCAAATTACATACAACAAACAACCGTTGGAGGAAGACACCAACAAGTAGAAAGCCAAACTTCCAATGCGCGAGCATTGGCAGTTTGGCCTAATGAAATATACTGCAAGAGTTTTATATACAATTCTAAGACTACATTTGGCAGTGAATAGAAAAGTGCGGTCACGAGCACAACTAAGTAACGCGAATTCCCTAAATAATTTAAAATATAATTACAAGACCTTTGCATCATACATACAAAACACACTGATCTAAAAAAAGTCATTGATCCTAGACTAAGTTCTATGTATTTAGCCTAAAAAACTTTCTGTATTTTATTGCCCTTAATAAGATACTCACCTGTTGAACAACTTTCAAATAACCTGCCGGCATTATGAGGTGGTTGACGGTGACAAACCTTCATAGAAATTGTATCTGTTTTCATATATTATTTTAAAAAAACGAATGAATGCGTTTTTACAAACTTAAAACAGTCTACTAGTTGACGTGAAGCGACGAAAATCAAGGTAAAAGAGACTTAAACTAAATTTATACCTATCATTTACATAAAATTGGACATTTTTACAAATCGAAGGAGGAGTTAAATAATAAGTTAGATAAGAGGTCAGGTACCGCGGCTAGCGTTCACACATCGCACGGTCACTGTAAACCATCAGCAGCAAAAGTTGAGAGCTAGTCTGTGGCAAAAATGAAAACCTATGAAAAAATGTCACAAGAGCGAAAAAACTTGATGAATGATGATACGGTTGGTGCCAAACGACGTATGGGATGTGTTGTGAGCTGGCAGCAGCACCATTGCCACAAAGTAGCTCTTATTTTTGCACTGAAAATGTCCGTCACAGATTCGTTTTCACAGGCAGACGGCTGCGACCCCGGTTCATTATGCGTCATCCTCCTCACCATCTACATCTTCCTCATCTTCTGCAAAAATTTTACTCGATATACCAAAATGCACTGGAACACGTTACGGGTTTTTAAGTCACTTCGAACCAGAACCCGCGACGAATTCAAACAAAAATTCCAATAAACACTAGGACATACCTTCTCCATCTAGTTCATCATCTTCACCTTCAGGAATGTCTTCTTCTCCGGTGCTTTCCTCTTCGAGGATTTCTTCCTCTTCCTCCTCGAACTCCTCTCCCTCTGAGGTCGCGCCATTTTCCTCTTTCTTTGCTTTCTTAGGGTCGTCAGTTTTGTCCTGAAACGAAAAATTCACGTGTTTTATCCAGTGCGTTTTTACTGTTACTTTTTAAGTGATATAAATAAAAGCTTGCGTTGCCAAAGTTCTCATTCAACTTGGATACGTACAGGCGGAGGCAGAATTCGACGGACCACGTGCGTAGCACTGTAGGCGACAACGAGGTGAAAATATTGCTAAATTAGCCAGGTTTTAATAAACAAACAAAGGAGATTACAAGACGATTTCAGAATGTTGGCATCAGATGATTTTGCCTGAAATAAAGACTATTTGTATCTATATTTAATGTGTTTGATTTGAAAACAAATAGCAGACTTAGTCAAACAAGCGTTAAATTCAACCAGTGTTGGACGCGAACGAGACTTTGTAATGAAAACTAGTCAACCCCAACAAGCCTCAGAACTTTACTAGACTCAGACTTTAGACGTTAATGATATTTTAGGTACCATTTAATTAGAAAAATATGCATCTCCGTATGGGATATCAACGTGATCCGATCGACTGGCGAGATATTTGAAACCATTCTTCAAATAAAACCACTTTAAGCCTGTGTCCCATGCACCCGTTTATACGATGGTATGATGATACGAAAATGTTTCTATTGGTTCTCTATTCTCCAACCAATACAAACACATTCGTATCATCATACCATCGTATAAACGGATGCATGGGACCCAGGCTTTAGACTTCGAAAGACCTATTTACGACTGATCTGACAATCACAACCAATTTTCATACACATACATATAACGGTTTTAAACTTTCAGATGCCCTGAAGGACTGTTCCGTTCGTCAATGTTTTTGATTCAAAAAAATGTCCTCTCAAAACTAGCCCATGAAAATCGAACTATCTTCAGCTGTGTTCATTTGATTCACACCTATTTTTGAGGGCCCAAAGGGGAGAAGTTCCACCCTTTTTATTCCATCATCCACTGGCTAATTCCAAATGGGGTTCCATGCTCCAACCGTTTCCAACGTAAGATTTTTCCCGTCATTAGCAGACAAAACGCTGCTGCTATTTGAACGAACGGAATTCAGTGTGTTCAAAGCAAAAGCCAATAAAAAATAAAGAAAATGAGAACTTGAAAATATGTTGGCAAAAACACCTGTGGGACCGGAAGCCCAAGCAGCAGGCAGATGGACACACGCGCCTGTTTCAGGCAGCCGCCTCTAATTGGATCATTAGAGGGTACAGCCGTACGAAAAACAATAAGGATCGCGCGAAAATGCTCAATCATCCGAAGAGGAAAAAATTGAGGTATTGGCAAATTAAATGGAATTTGCGGCACTTGCTACTTGCACAAAAGGCTTCAGTTATAAATCAACGCTTTTTAATACTGTGCCAGAATCTTTGCGAAAACACTCCTCGGAATACCGTAATCAGGCGGAAACTCTTAAGGAGGTTAATTCGTCGCCCCATCTCGCTCTGTTAGATAACGTCTTATCTGAAATCCCACACTAGACAAAGAAAGGCATTAGCAGGGTCTTGCGCACCAATCGGAGGAATAACGTGCACGGCAAGTTTCAACATCTGCCCATTCATCGCAATGTCCGTTAATGAACACTGCTGGTATATTTAATTTACATATAATTTTTTTGAAATCATGATGTACAACTCATACAGAAGGAAAGTAGGTACAAAATGTAATAAATTACAGGCGGAAACGCATTGAGATGGAACTAAGGCAGGGAAGCATGCTAAGTGCGGGAACCGCTAGGAGTCCTAGAATTGCCTTTTGAAAGCTTAGAAAATACTTGTGGTTCTGCTGACTTCCCCTAATACCCTCCAGATGAATATTTACTATCAAAAATCAATTCCTTGTAGTTATCAAAAATACCTTCGTGGAAACGTTTATTTTTCTACTTTCAAAAGTATTTGCTTTAACTATTCGGAGGCCTGATAAAACGTAGTCTACAACAAGACGAGATACCATGTGTAAATACGAATAACACCTATATAAGCTGATGGGAGTAAAAAGGACACCCAATTAAATCACTTGCTCTCTTATTATTTATTCGCTGTCAGGGCAATCACGATTAGTAAAGTGTGAAGTTATAACAAGAGCCTGGCTCCAATATAGTTCAGCGGTTATCTAATGATAAGTACAATGATTCGATTATTTGAAAGTGGATGGAGGCCTGATTGGATTTAAATCAGAATTTGGCGCTCAAAAACTATTCAGTAAATTGGCTTTTTTAGAACCGCACCTCTAGTGCAATTTGGGGGGTTGAACAGTTTTATAATTATAAGAGCATGATACTAATTAATTAAATAACAAATTAAGGCAATGCGCTTAGATTGGAATTAGCCAATGTTCAAATACCGACGCCACGCTATAGGCAGCCATTTTGAAAGTTTCCAACAGTTCGAGAACTGCTAGAAATCGGAAATTGATGTTCGAATTTCCCAGCGTGGACTATTTATGTTAAATTAAAAGGCAAAAAGCTGTACCCTCGCCTCGGGGGCTCATTTAGGATTCTATTGATTTCGCCATATTGAATGCTCGCTTCCATAGTAGGCTATGGCCGGCTAGCCTCACGCCAAGGTGTTATCGTTATTATGGCGGGATGCACGGGCTTGGGATTTTGTTTACAAATCTTTTTACCCTTCACAATATCTCCTTATTTCGGGTCCAAAACGCTTGAAAACGCCAGACCTGATCCACGTGTTGTTGTTAACCTATTAATAGATGATCTTAGGCGAGGAAAGGAAGCCATTATGCATTTTTTCCACGACCGGTCTTTAACTCACATGGCAACAAGCGTCACCTTGTTTCAACTCATTAACGAAAAAGCACGCTGTAGTATCTATGAAAAAGGCCACACATCACTTTTTAGCGCTTATTTGCAACAAAAGACTTGTCACGATGGCGGAAAACAAAAATATGACAAATAAGAAAATGTGCCTTTCTTGAACTTACCTCGGCCGGCCTCTTGGTGCCTTTCAATTCACATTTGGCGTCTGCACTTTTGTCGTTTTCCAACTTTTCTACGGCGACTTCTTTATTTTCCTTCGTACTCATTTTGTTTATGTTTTTTTGGACTTTTACTTTAATCCTTGCAAGTTAACGCGGCGAAAGTCGAAAACACTACTGACCGGCTCAAAGCTAGCTTGGTTCAAAAATTAATATGGCGCCTCTTTGCCCGACTACCGCCGCTTTTACCCGAATCATCCGCTTTGCTTTGCTTGCCGAATTTAGAACCAATTCATGCAGCAGCAGTTTCCTAAGTAATAAATGTGAATTTCCAAATAAGCCCTACTTTAATCTGCTTTATGATTTTTGCGAAATTAATTGTGAAACTCTCCAAAATGAGGGGTTCGAGATCCAAATCGGAGCTAGCGGTTTTGCTTCGAGATCTCGAAATTCGTTTATGATGCTTCCACCAGGCGGCGCAGTTCAAAATTCTTCCCGCTGCCTAATGCTCATTTCTTTCTCAGAAAAACCTCTGCTATTATCCAAATGAACCTCATCCTAATGATATGATAAATTTTGACAAACTTTTTGACAAAATGTCTAGTTTTTACATGCAAACTGAGTTTTAAAGCCGATATTAACTTCCGTAATTCAATGGCCGACATTAATGGTATTGATGCAACTTTAAATGGCGGCTGTCGGCTTTGGTTCGAAAAAGTAAAAATTGCACTTATGCTTTCCAAATATTTCATTTAATTAAACCATTTTGCATCCATCTGGAACATGTTGTAAATAGTGTGAAAAATCTAGTCGGTTTCCCCAAGTACTGGGTGTTTCGTAATAAAATGCCAATTTTCAAGTAGGCTATTCAAGGGCGTATTTTGAGAAAATCTCTAAAAAATCTTTTTAACTAAAGAGTGCTGCGAAACAACAGAATTATTTCCAGTGACAATCGTGCGGAATTTGCACTGGATCATTCCACAGAATTAATACGCCACTGGTTTTAAAGAAGACATGGGAACTTTCTATTCATTTCTTCATTCAAGAATTTTGTTTGAAATGCTCTAGGCCCTTTAACGTACGATTTTCGTATGAAAAAAATTCAATATTCTTATACATTAAATTTTTATTTGTGCAAAAGATTGTCATTAAACAGAAGCAATGTTTATGCAGCAGAAAAACTTTGGCTGTGATGGAAAATATTCTTGCCTATCCACTATGTAGAATTTTAAATTTACCGCCTTTCTAAATGGGCGCCATTTTATATCATGATGCCAAACTGCCGTTTTAAACGTAGACTCTTACTATGCACCTGGAAAAACTTGCAGGGAACATTGGCAGTTAGAATATTCAATGAATTTTTCTAGTGCATAAATCTGTGATTATTTGATTTTTATCACAAATAAACTATCAGTATTTAATGAATTTGACGACAGGGGGAAGAAACATCTGTCCATGTTTTAAAGTAACGGAAAGCTGACAACACCTGCCAGTTGCGTTCACTTCCTTTTGCTAACTGGTTCTGTTTCGAAGTCAAATAGCAAAAATGGTGAGTTCGAAAAAGCAAATCTACAATAATCCTAATCATTTGCAAGTGTTTTTAAATAATCTTAGGAAATACGTGAATATCTGCAGCTCTTTTACATCGCCGGCCTAATATTTTTCGGAATAATAATTTGTTAAACTAAAATTCTCGATTATGTAGGTTATGTTTATTGAGAAGATGTCAAGGGCTGCGAAAGTGTTTTTAGTGCCCTTAACGTGTAATTACTCTTGCAGGTGAACATACCGAAACAGCGACGCACTTTCTGCAAAAAGTGCAAAGTTCACAAATTGCATAAAGTAACACAATACAAGAAGTCCAAGGAACGTCATGCTGCTCAGGGTAGAAGGCGTTACGACAGGAAACAACAGGGATTTGGTGGTCAAACTAAGCCAATTTTCAGAAAGAAGGTACACATCGTTGTTTTGTATATTTCATTAGTAGAGTTTTGGGAACAAACTCTTAATCAAACTGAATAGTTTGAACCTTGAGGTTTCCAAGGAAAACTCCAAATTTTTCAAGTCTACATGGGCATTGATAGAACAAAACCAGTTACTTAACGAGCACTTTATCTCGTTTCAATGGTATCTGAAATATTTTATAACAGGGCCCTCTGATTATTTCAGCCTGCTCTTAGTGGGCATCCAGTTTTTACGAAAAACTGCTTTAAGCTCAGTTACAGAACCAAACTTATCCTATTTCGCCCACACTGTACTTGCATTTGACCGGTTTTTGTAATACAATTAAATTATTTCTCCATAGGCAAAGACCACCAAAAAGATTGTGCTAAGGATGGAATGTGCGGACTGCAAATACAGAAAGCAAATTCCCCTTAAGAGGTGCAAGCACTTCGAACTTGGAGGAGACAAGAAGCGTAAGGGTCAAATGATCCAATTCTAGAGTAGTTAATAAAGAATTACTTGACTATGTTTGTTTTATTTCAAAATGTTTATTTCATTTACAGTCTGAAAAATATATATTTGGTGCATATAGTGATATAAGTGGTCCTTAGAGTAGTAAAAAGGTCTTATGTATGTAAAGGAATTGGAAACTTCACCTAAACTACACATCCGGAATAACTGCATCTGGATTGCTGAAAATTGGTACTTTTTTAGAAAATCATTACTGACACATTATTTATTAGTAAAATGTTATTAAAATATTTATTAGTAAAAAAGTTTACGCGTCAGTTATCGTGCAACTAGAAATAAATTAACCAATCTTGGCATGCAACCAGCTCAAATGAAATATTTTGAGGGTGGAAATTTAATTAGGTTGAAAGCTCAGAAATTAATTTTCCTTGAACTCACAATTTTCTATCGACACGAGAAAAAATTTTCAATTTTTATCTGCGTTTATAGAGCATGCAAAAATCAGATTTCAATGTGATTTGAACTAGAAAAGTTTAAATTGTTCAGTTTTTAATGGCGCAAAATATACCGGACAGGCTTTCAAATTGGGCTGAACACCAATTGAAAACTTAAAATGAGTGATTAAAACTCATTAGGCAGCACTTTTGTGTAAGATCTTTTGGCCTTTACTGAAGAATAAGTAAAAAAACAACAACTTACTCTAAAACGGCTGGATCAACTCCTTCAGCTTTCATTTGGAGCTTGACTGCCGGCGCTTGTACTCCAACCTTCAACATTTTGAAGAATTTTGCAAATCTTGGGTCTTCACTAGCTTTCACACCGGTTTGCCCAACTGGCTCCTGCTGCGCCTGATTGGCCTCTAACAGAAAATGATCACACTAAACACTTGCCTTAGCAACTTTTGTCACCTTCTTACCATTATTTACTGTAACATTTTCCTGGACAGAGTCTACTGAAACTGGCTTATCAACTAACTCGGGTAAGGCCAGTGTTTCACTTTGGGGTACTTTCGGACTTTCATTGGCGTTGCTTGGCGATTGCTCTCCGTTGAACCCTGGTATTGAAGAAAGCTATTTGAGACATGAAGACACAAACATGAAGCAATTTGCGCCGACACAAGCACTTACTTGGGACTCCAGTATGAGTAGGGAGGCCTCAATTTTTTGCACTTTGTATTCGAATTGCATGAAGCGAGACTCGCACGACTGACAAAAAGTGTTCAGGTAAGACACCGTGTTGGTGATAAAGTGGTTTACGAATGCGATAATGCGTTTTTGCTGTATGGGCGGTATCTGGAATCACAAAAAATTGAGATTGTTGAAAATCTGCAACAAACTGGTTTTATATACCTGAGTATAATCCAGGTCAGTTTTAATATGTGGAAGCTCGTCGGTTTGCATTTTCATTATTTTCTAGTTCCATATAAAAGCAAAACTTGTGATTTTTGACACTTTGGCTGAACATAAACAAAAACATCTCAGTGTTGCCAAGCAAAAATCAGCTGACTCTCTTGGATGCCACATGAAATGACATTTTACTAGCTGTCTAGGTGTGGTAGACACAGAAACTTGTCTCTGGGTAGACAGATAATAAAGAAAATTAATTTGAAAATTTTACACATTTTTTAAATTCATATTAATTGTAAATGTAGATAAGTAAGCATTTTCACTGACGTTATGCGGTAAGTAGTTATCGCCTGCGATGACAACATTCGCTTTATACATTTTACATTAAGGTTCTAGTGTTCAATGAAACGACTGGGGCACAGTCCCGATATTGACTAGGTGCTTCTCGGCCGTTAAAAGCCCGAAACACTCACTAGTTCCAAAAAATGGCAAATTGCCAACGTCTTTGAGAAATTCAACATTCAAGTCAGCTTTGAAGTCTAATCAATAGATTCTTTTAAATTCAATCACGATTATCATCACCATGCTTTCGGAAGTTTGTTTCTTCTGTCTGCTTCCCAATTCTAATTCACATTCTGCTATTCATTAGATATTCCGTTTATGTGGCAACTTACTATTAAAAAATCGTCCAGAGGGTCCAGTTTGAACCAAAATCCAAGGCCATTAGCATTGCATGTTGTGACAACCTTAACAAAGCAAGCAAAGGAAATTTTACTATTTACCTTTTAGGAATTTTGTTCCTACGTTTATTTTATCTGTTGTCTATTTTATCAATTACAATTTTAAGTTGAAAATCCTCCCAACTATTTACCGCTCTGTTAAGGTCTAGTGCGACCACGCACATACCGTTCTTCGGTATTAGGATGTTTTGCAACCTCCCGAGAAACAGAAAACGGCTCCCCAGCACTTGCTGCTGACTGATGCTGTTTTGATCCAATATCGACTTGCTCGGTACGCCTCAATTGATAATATTCGCCGATTTGCCCATAATTGCAATTCGCTAATACCGGTTGTTGAGGAAGTAACTGTGCTGCATATTGAGTGATGTTTAGTCGCGGATCCCTTGAAGGAGGTTGGTCGTACTTCGGGTCGTAAACGATCCTTCCAGGCGGTTGGTTTGGTTGCTCTATCGCCTGATCACTTATACGGCCGGGCCCTCCAGGGCTCCCAACTGAAGAAAACTGCTGCGAAGACACTAAATAACTCCCATAGGAAGGATATAACGCTCCCAAATGAGGAGCGCATTCAGCAAAGCTAAATTCCTTTCCATTCTTCATCTCTTCAGGGTAATATGGCTTGTAGCGCTGTTCTTGCCGCTGCCAGAAATCTTGATAAGCGGGATGTTTGAGTCTTGGGTCCTCTGGAGGCCTGGAATATTCATGTTTCGGAGAAATGGCCCTGCGGGACCTGCTTACCGCATATTCGGCATTATCTAGGAGCCGACGGTTACTTTTCTCCGCAGAATAATCCTCCCTAGCTTGTTTCCTCCCAGGCGATTGCTCTCTGGATCCTTGACGAGGAGGAGAAGCAGGAGACGGGGCAAATTGCGGATACCTTTCATTCATCCGGTGCGGTGATGGTTGGAAAAACCGATTCGGTTCAGTTGTCGCTAATCGATCACGATTTTGTTTGGAATGGTTCACTTGTCTCTCTAATGAATCCTGTTTAGTGCGTCTGCTGCGGCGCTCGCTTCCGAGGGGCAAAAGCCCCTCTTCGTACTTGCGTGAAGGCGATCGACTTCGCAATCTATCCCTCAATATCGCTGGTTCTTTGTCATTTTGTCGTGGTGAGCGTTTTCTTGCAGGTCGTTTGGGCGAACGTGAGGTGCGTTTGGTTCGCTTTGGCGAGTTTCGCTTGCGATTACGCTCTACTGGTGAGCGAGCACGCCCAAAGCCTGCTAACGGCGAACGCCGACGCTCATTCGAGCGGTTTCTTCTGCGATCTCTGCTCCGATGTCTGCTGCGTTCTTTTGGGGAAACAGGCCGCTTCTTAGATGAAGGCGGTTTATTGTCGTCCTTTTCAGAAGTGGACTTGTTCAGAGGCGATAATTCAGGCTTTTTTGCAGGATCATCAGAGGTTTTTTCAGTCGATTGGCGTCTTTTCCTAGACGATGATTTTTGCGTTGCAGGTGAGCCTTGTGAGCCGTCTGTTTTTTCTTTGGAAGACTGTCGACGTTTGGTTTGGTCTTTGGAAGCTCCGTCGGATTTTTTGTGCTCTTTTTGAAGGCTAACGCCATTTTCCCGTAGTGGTGATTTTCTTCTATTCCGCTCGCGACTATTGTCTCGACGACGACGTTCATCGGCTCTGTTTCTCCGCTCTCTCTGCCTCCTCTCCTCTTGCTCTTTCAACTCTAGGGCTATGGGTTTTTTGAATGGCCGATCTCTCCCTCCGAACCGCAGCTGCCCAGATTCTTTCTTGCCGGCGAAGCCGCCTCCTAATCTCCGCGGTTTCCAGCCTTTGAGCAATCTAAAATCAATCTCCAATAAGCAAAACGACACAATCCCGCTCTAGTAGCCAACCTTTCGCATTCAAAGTCAACGAAAATGGCATTTCCATCCACTACCATCCGATTAGCCAGCCGATATGCTTCCTCGGCCGCTTGCTCCTCTTCGTATTCGACAAAAGCGTAGCCCTTCGGCATGCCAGTGACAATGTCTTTCACCAATCTGAACCTTCTGAGTTTGCCATATTTTGAAAATATGTCTTTTATTGTTTCCTTGCTGGTTTCGTGATTCAATCTGCTGATGAATATTGTGGACTCCGGGCGGCCTTTGACGAATCGGTTTGGATTGTAGTCGGAATTCAGCGCTCGTAGGACCGCTCTGTCATGGGGCTCGCTATCAGTGCCATCGATCGAGGCACATTTTATTGGATCGTATGTTTTCGCGTACTTAACCCAAGTGTCTGTCTCCGGCTCCATATTTATGTTGCTTTCCATATGCCTGCAACAAGCAAACATACATTTCTGCACTAGAATTACAGTGAAATTGTACCTATTTTTGTTTGTGTTTTATCTATACAGGTTTTCTCTATTGACTTCTACTAGTTGAGTTGTATATCTATAGCTTGCGATTCATTCTAGTTAACTTTGAAGTCAATAATTACTGGGGATTTATGTGCTAAAGTCCTGTTGCTTCGGGTCATATGCTCATTGCAGAAACATCAGCAACTTTTAAAAGTAAAATGGATTTTGCAAAATTTACCTGCAAAGCTCTGTTTATGATACATTTAATTGGGTTAGGTGTCTTGACAAGAGCACAAGTGAGGTTACGGTGTAACGAAGTTGCTGATCGCGCCTTGCCAGACCTATAGTTTTGTGGCAGCAATTGGGGAATGTATCACCATAGATGAAGACAAATATCACTGTTTTTCTGGTTCAGTTTGTAATAACCAAGAGCGGATCCGGGGGGGTCATGGGGGTCATAAAAAAATGTTGGCATTATCTTGAACCTAAGTGTTTGATATTCAAATTTCGCTTTCTGGGTGAAAACTACTCGAATTTCCTCACTAACGTTGTTACGACTGAATCGACTTTTCAATTCTATATCCAACGATGCCAAAACGAATTCTATGGCTCGAATGGTTCGAATAAAGGCCATTTAGTTATCTCTGGAATGATGTAAAAACGAGCGTTCTTGCTCATTTTGCTTCCGAGAAACATGCAAAACGGGACGGAAA